AACGCACCTGTGGTAGGAGTAAATTGTAGGGGCTCTGGTTTTAGTTCCCTTATTTAATTACATTCTCTTCTGGGAATTGATACGATACGCAGACTTTTTGTGTTGGTGTACATATGTTTGTCACATATTGCAAAGTGGTTTTTAATTAAAGAAAAAAGTGGAAAATGCTTCTTGGACAGCAAAAACCCATGATACTGTCAAAAGCACTTAAAATCTGCTGAAGTGTCGGATTTTTTAATTTTTTAATTTTGAATTGTAAAATATATTGGCATGCAAATAAAGCCAATAAATAAATAAAACCAGTGCTGCTATTGCAAACATTACAAATGGCAAAATTGAATAAAATATGAGACTAAAAAGTTAGAAATGTTGAATTGTTTTTTTCTATCTTTTTGGCTTCATTAGGAACCACGCTTCTCATTACACATAAATGCAGTGCAATTAGCAGAAATAGGTACAAATGGGTGCACAGTGCAGACAAATGGTGTGGTGACTGATGGCTGTTCTGCAAACACACGTTTCTTAATTGTTCCCTGTGTTTGTGGAACATGAAAAAGTAGTTGTAGGATAAATGATTAATTCACGTCAGACATAATGCTTGTTTCGTGCTCCATCCACAGTGAGGGTGATGTATTTTGCTTTACAAATCTGGCTGCGTCTTAAATGCTCTTATGAATTTCTAAAAAGCTCTTTTCAACTCTTCCTTGGAAATAGCAGCTCATCTTCATTTGTCAACCCAGTGATGGGTCTAGTCTGAAATCTCTGTGTCACCAATGTGATGGACCCAGTATTGATAAGCTACATATGAATACAGGGAAATTTTTAGCTACAAATTTGTCTTGTTTAATAAGTGATGCATTGGGTTCATGATCAAAAGGAACTGAGTATATGCAGTAGGTACTAATATGAGATTTACGAGAGCATTTAAAACATCTTCACAAAGAGATGGAATCGATTGTCCCAAATTGTAACTGATCTGCTAGGCAGTGACAGAATGGTAAGGCTGATAAGTAGGGTTCTAAAATGACTGGTCTAGTCAAAGAGAGCCTGAGGAGTGGGATAGGGATTTCAGCTGCTGGAGCATCACATTTATGTAAGCCTACAGTTATCTGAATTCGAGTTAAATTATTTCTCTTACAATATAGAGTTTAGTTGCAGGGGATGTGGAAGAATTGTCAGACAGAATCAGAGTTGAAGTATTTCATTTACCTTTGGGCATTCCTGCACTCTGCAGTTTCACTTGTGGAATTTCACATCCAAGTGTGTGCACCATGTGTTTTCTATTGTATTGAGAATAAATTCTTTTGCCCGTGGAAAAATATTTCCTGCTTACTTCAACTGATCAGATGACAGTCTTGTTGAATCTGTAATGATGAGGGTCTGTCTCTAGTCTACAAAAATAATTTTCTAGTTCAAGATGGAATATTGCCTTCTGTTTTGTGATTCCAGTCTTTATTTATCTACTCAGAGCAGAACGTAAGAATGTTAATCAAATCTATCTGGATTCCCACATATTGATTTTTTTTTTAATCTTAATTGAAGAGAACTTCATCTGACTTCTACCCCTACAAGAAAAATATTTGTCCACTTCATGGAACGCCCATAAAATTCATCTCTCTTCTCTGGAGAAGATGAAAAACCCTTGGTTTAGGGATCAGAACCGAAGCAAAGGGCCTTGGTTTACGTGGATTAGTCAAACTGTGATGTTTCAAGCTGAGGTACATATGGGTGCTGGAGTTTGGTGTCCCGTAAGGATGACTGAGTATGGGCAGTGCCTGCTTGCTGCGTCGCTGTTTGTAGCTGCAGCTTTTCATGTCGTATATCAGATTCATAGTGCAAATTGATGGACATTATTACCAGCGTGAGAGGAAATGCACTTACATGCGCAAGCTGAGAATATGGCCCAGACTACTCTGCGGGAACAAAAGAGAGCAGAATTACCATCTCAATTTTTGCTTTAAAATCCATTCTTCGTGCACAAAATCAAATTGCAGCCATTCAGTTTTCTATTTTAATTATCTCTAGGTAGGTTTTTTTCAGTGGACCTGCATCCGCTTCTTCCTCTGTTACCCTGAGTGCTGGAACCCCACAAGACAAAGGCTGGTACCCATCTGTTGCCTGCAAACCCCTCCTTATCATGCAGTTGTAGGAGCAGTCTGTATGATGCATTGACCAACGTTGGCAGCCACTACATTGTGAATACCTGGAATCCCTGTAACGCAGCAGGCCTCCGTTCTAAATTTACTCTGCTTCTGGTTTATGGCCCTTCCTCTGTGGCTGCAGCAAGAGGCCCCTTCTTTATGACTCACCCTCCCACCCCCTCCGCTCCCTGCTCCGATGGTAACCCTTTGTGCACATGGCCTGGTGGAAAATGTGCTCGCTAGGTGCTGGCTGATTGGCTGCAACAACGTGCTCCTTTGTTGTCGCTGGGTAAGATCCAATTTGAATGAGATCTGTAAAAGGGCTGTGCTTGGGACATTGCAATTTTCGTATCTCAGGATGCTGGCAGGGGCCTCAGACTGAAGCGCTCGCAGGAGAATAGTGCTGCTTTCCTTCAAAGCAAATTTAAATTATTTTGCTGTTGATTTTGGAGACTTTATAATGCCCTGTTAGCCAGCAATAATTATTGCTATGATCAAATGCCTAATAATAACAGTTAGACTATGTCGGGGTTTTTGTTTTTGGTTCCATAGACAAAAAAAAGCATACAAAAAGTATGTACACAGAAGAGGAAGTATAACTTCTTCACTTTGTTCTGGGGAAAACTGGGAAGCACAGTTGATGTAAGCAAAATCAAGCCAACTCTGTGATCCTTCTACTGCCTATGACAGCTGTACAGTAGAAGTGATAAGTGCACATGTGTGCAAATTTTGGGTGGATGTTCACAGAATCTGGCTTTAGTACAACTGACTTCTTCAGGACACTCTGGGGTACCGGAAGTTAGATGCCTGCAACGTGTTGTCCTGGAGGATCCCCCCACCTCCTCCTTTGATTTCCCCTTTGTTGGAACGTGTGCTCCTAACTCTGACATTTTCAGAGTATTACACAGGAAAGCCAAGTTAAACGGCAGTCTAAAAGCAATTTTTGGAGAAAAAATAACTTCTGTGGAAGGCTGAATTAATGAAATGTTTCAAAATTTTCTCAAATATCTTGTTATTTAATCTGTGATATTATTTCATTCTTCTAATGTGTTGCCATTCCTATAGAATACAAGCATACTAGGTACCAGAAAGTTACTGTAAACCTAAAGGTGGTCATTGTTTTGTTCAGCGAGGAGAAAGCACTAATGCACTCAGTAAGTTGTTTTGGCTTAGCAGTGGCACATAACGCCTTGTAAGCAGCATCTCATGAAGAGTATTTATCAGCATAATCAGCATTTTTCTTTGTTCTAAACTGAAATCTTATGTGCTGCCCTTCAGCTGCTCTTTAATAATAATCTTTGATTTCTTCCTTCCTTCACACGGCTTGTTTGGTTGGTGTTGTTAAACACTATGCAGGGACGACTGCAGCAGCAGCAAAGTGCTACTGCTAAGTACTGGCTGGGATTCTATAATGCGACTCAACGTGCAGTGTTGCAATGCTTCTTTCTCTCATTTTTGTCACAGAGGCTTATGTTCAGCATTCTGACTATAGAGCTTTGCTGTCAAGGCTCAGGCTGTAAGCTGATTGCTTGTAAGGGCAGCAAAATAGTGCCTAATGTGTTTTAAGCAGTGCTGGGAGGTGGTGCATCAGATGCAGTTTTTTACCTTCTGGTAAGGAATCAGATTGTAATCGCTGCCAGAGGGAGGATGGTGGGACGGTGGACAAACGATCTGACCTTGTCCTGCAAATCCCATGCTCTTCTTTCCATGGAAAGGTCTTGCTTTCACTATCACACTTTCATCATCTGTAGTTTCTGAGTCTTGATGTAGACAGTTCTATACAATGGCCCTCATGAGACTGTTCATTGTCTCAGACATTTACTTTGCACTTACTATTAGCGTAGTTATTTCACATTAAACTTGGGTCATTGAAACTGCCATGTGAAGGGAAACCATGATTAAAAATGCGGGATTCAGAATTAGTGCTCAAACTACAGCAGTGTGTTGCAAGATTTTTGTCCTCAGTTTGGGTCACACAAGAGCTGCAGGTTGGCTTGTTGATTGAATGCACCTTAAATTGAATGTATTTCCTTCCTCAGAAAGGATGACAGAAAACTTGCAGAATACTATTTGGTCTGCTAGCTCATTGATTCTACTGTCCTTTCTTTTCAACTGGTGATGAACCACCAATCGGTCTGATTTCTTGTATCAGAAAAGAGATGCTTGGAATTTGCATTTAGATGGTAGGCATCAGATGTATGTAATTTTTGTTTGCATGCAATTAACAAATATCTTGAATAAATATCACATGGTGTTAAGTCATGTGGAAAGAAAACTGTGTTGCATAAAGACTTGTATTTGTTATTTTGAGAACACTTCTGCATGTAAATACTTTAATTTTTTGGACATTATTGAATTTTTTTTAAAATGCCCAGTTGAAATGAGTCAAAAAAGAGAAGGAGATAGTTAACTATACAACAGATCATGGTCTAACCCAGAAGGGATTGGTCTTCCAAAAAGCAATAAGAAGAAATTGGAATTCTGTTCTGTTGTGTTTTTGGACAGTACTAAAAATCAGGTTGTGTTTGGAAGGGTTTTGTTTTTTTTTTTTTTTTTTCGGTTTTAGAGCAATTTATTTAACACTTACAGAAATTTAAGATTCTGCTTGTTGAATTCAAAGAAAGCCATTGTGATTTGATGGCCATGGTACTACTTTGTAAAATCGCTTGTCAAGGGTTAGGTAACAAATAGATAGGATTTTACTAGTATTCTTAAGACAAGAATTATACAGAAAGCTCTAGAGGGAATGTTAAGAGCCCATTCACACTAAGCAGATGCTAAGAAAACTGTGGTTTTAAAATTCATATTTATTATCTTGCTTTAGAAGTAAAAATATTGTGTGTTTCATTTTAACTGCAGGTTGCTGTTATTTGGTAGATACAGTAGCAGGAGATCCAGAGGTTCTGCAAGCAGATGCTGAAACATACTATGAAAAACTGTTGAAGCAGTCGTCATCTGCTCCTGACGTTTTTTCCATCCCTGGAGGAGAAAAGGTAATATGCTGTTGTTTTTCATTCTACAGCTTAGATACTTGCAAACCAGTTTGTTGGTTCTGTTCATAGTCCATTTGTGAATAGGGGCAAACCGGTGTGACCAGATTATAAATCTCTTAAAATCAGTAAATTCTGCATTATTTCAAATAGTTTACTTGTTGCAAATTAGAGAGAAGCTTAAACTAGAAGTCTAAAGCCCTCCAGGTGTAGGTGAAGGTCTGAAGTACTTAGCTGAACTTTACACATTGACCTGTTGATCCTTAGAGAACTGGATCAACAGGGAGCTTGATAGCAGTTGACACCATGGATCTGCTCTATTCTGCCTCTATTAGCAGTTTACACAAGTACTGGTGCACTGACTGTTTTTTGGTTTCCACCCTTTCTAATTGTAGCATCAGTGATGTTGAATGTGGATTCTCCCAGTTCAGATCAGATGAGACTAATAGATAAATGCTGTAGGTGTCAGTGATGTAATTTACCATCCATTCCTGAGCCACCTGAGGAGTGATCTGGGGATGAGAGAGCTGGCCTGTTAAATATGCTGACTTCAACCTTACCAATTAAAATCAATATATATATATATGTATATATGTTTTAACCTTCAATTCTGGGCATTTTCCACGTCATACTGGAGTACCTGGTATTGCACTATCAAATCAGTAAGTGGGTTAGTTGAAATGAATGCTTGGAATGCAATGTTTGTTCCCCAGTTTAGGAAAATAACATGCAGTAGTTTCCAGAAGCATACCATTTCAGGTGGCTGGCTTCCATCTTTGAGCACTGACTGTAACTAGCTTTAAGTATTCTTTTAATGCCCTCTAGTGGACCGTGTAGGGTTAAATACAAATAAACCTGACCACGCACAGATCCTCCAGTTACGGCTTCTCCATCCTTCCCTCAGCCTTTCATGCCTGGTTATACTTTCAGAAGCTTATTTTCTGTTCCACTGAAAAGGAGGCTGAGATAAAATCCCAAGCAGTGCTGTGTATATTCTTGCAATAATTAAACACAGTGAAATCAGTTAAAGGAGGACTTCTGGCTTTTGATTCAGAGCTATCTTGATTCTCTGGATTGCTTCAGACCTTAAATGTATCACATGACAGATTTGAGTCTCATAGCAACACATTTCTCCTTGCATTCATTTAATTCAGGTCTAATCTAATCTGCAGTCAGACAGCTAGTCAAGGACATAAATAATGGCAATGTTCACACTATGTGTTTTTTTTCCTTATACTCTATTATATACTCTATTACAAATACTTTGCTGAATGTTGATATTTTGTAATTAAAAATAAATTAAATGTAATATGTTAAACTCTAATTTCCAGAGAATCTGTTATGTACCTACAACCTTAAGGATGAGGATTTTGGTGTTTAAATAATTGGCTGTAGCTACCAGCTTTTTTTTTTTCTTTTTCTTTTTTTTTTTTTCCTTTTTTTTTTAATGCATCTGAATTGAAGCAGGTTTTGAGTGGCAGGACCAGCAACCGTGCATAATTAGTGTCTGTCAGCCCACTTGCTCAGGTCACAGAACTTCTTTTTGGTATGTCATGATCTGTGGGCAATCAGTGAGTGCACAAACGACAAGGAAATCAGCATGGAAGAGCACTGTCAGAGTTCAGAAAGACAAAGCTATACTTGGCTCATCCTAATGTTACTAGCACCTATGAAAAGTGCACATTGCATTGCACAACCAAATAGCAACCATAGCATTGGATTTAGTACTGGCCTTTCCATCACAGTAATGCTCTCAGGTGCCATGGTGATACCCGTGCTGTTGTATCTGTAGCATGCAAAGGCTGAATTGCCAGAACAGAATGAGAGAGCAGGAAGCTCATGAATACAGATTTCAGGGAGTTCTCAGTTTTTTTCCAAGAGTCCAATGTTTGCACAGATGATCCCAGGATTCTGCCGCCGACAAACTAGTGAACGCTGATTTCATCTTAAAGTTGTTATCTTGAGCCATCCATATTCATACTGCTCCTTCCATGCACCAAGTAATATTAAATGTATCACATGACTGATTTGAGTTTCATAGCAAACTGACAAATGGGTGCAATTAGAGAGAGGCACACCCACACATACACAATGGACCAGATTTTTGGAAGTACAGTACATACTGTGCTAAATTATTCACGCTTGTTGCCTGTACCTAAACTTCCAAGAGAGCATTTACAATATTCATATGGAAATCGTCATCTCCATGCATATAGAGCTGTTTGAGCACAGCGATTTTGTGTTAGTGTCACATCGTTTAAAAGTTGAGTCTGAGAGGCTGAAAGCTGGATTTTGATTTGAGCTTTCCCTGCACCGTAACCACCGTGTGCCAATTTATCTCCCCTCCCTGTCCCTCACAGATCAACTGCCCAGGCGCTGCCCTAACGCTTTGATACTCCCTGTACCCTGAGGCTTAATTCATTGTTTGCAAAACACCACAAGTACTCAGCTGGACTGACTGAGCTGTAAGAAGTGCAAGTTGTATTTGTTTGCAGTTGATACAATGTGTCTGGTCTTCGTAACACCGTTTGTCCACATGTAACAGTGTTCAAAGCTCTGTTGTGTACCTGTTGTAGTAAGTCAATACTAAGTTTTTCACTACCTTTAACAACTAATTCCTTCTAAATTGCTTGCTGATAATGTTGGGCTATTACATATGTATCACTCTCCGTTTTTAAGTTGAGGACTGAGAGGGTGTTGTGCTAAGCATATACTGTGCATGTTAGTATGACATACTGTAAGTGCATCTAATACATGAAGTGCTTCTTGCCAGCTTTGCAGTACAAACAGCTACAGGGCTTGTTTGTTTTTTAGGTTAAACTTGAAGATGCCTGTGTGTGTTTTGTCCCCCTCTACCGAAATAGTCCTACTTGCAAAATGTTGCTGTTAACTGATCCACAGGATAAAGAGACAGGTTAGAATTGGTAAAAATATTTTGAAATTTGAGCAGTTGTACTTTCTTTGATTTTTTAGGTGGACTGCTGGTTTACATACTTAAATACTTGAGATTTTCTTTTGAATACAAGGTGGATTCCCCTTACCTGTCAGGTTTGTTTTGATGGGCTACAAAGTGGAAGGGAGGATTGACATTGAGGGCTTTCAAATTCTATGCATTGCTCTGCTGGTAGCTGGAAAATGACCTTACATAAAACAGCAGTGTAACTACTGTTCAGCCCAAATCAAGTAATCAGGAAATTTCCTCATAAGGACAAAAAACAGATCAAAATCATCTGTGTTTAGAGGTGAACTCTGCAAAGTTTTCCAGCTTGTTTTACACAGGGTTTCAATTGGGGGTTCACTAATGGGCTGTGATTCACATAGTTGAATGTGGGACACCTTTCTAAGATAAAAATGTCTTCATTGTCCCCCTGTAGCTACTGAGAGAGAAGTTCATTCCTGACACTAACTTATATATTCTATTAACATTTTTCTGAAGAGAGATAGGCTGTGGTGTGATAAAGGAGAGAAGTGCCTACACCAGAGGCCAAACTTGCACTGAAGGCAGCTGTGCATACCTATGGACTCATGTTCAAAGGAACATGGTTGAAATTTAGTTTAGACTGCAGAAGAGGAATGGGAATTTGTAATGACTACATGAAAATAAAGAACTGTTAAATAAATGCAGGTGAAGTCAATGCGTTAAGCACAGATCTTCAGTTGGATAACAGTAATAGGAAAAATGCATATTAATTAGATGTGTACACAGAGAAGCAGAGAAGAAAAGATTTCTACAAATAGCAACTGAAATCCACATTGGAGACTAATGGATTAGTACTGCATAGATAAAAATGACAGACATGATGCTTATGAAATAATATCCTCTATAATATAATTATTTCCAACAATTATTTCCACAGGTCTCAGAGTAAGTACTGCCAATCCAGTCATTTGTTTAACATTCTAATAATTGGGATTCTTAACAAATGCAGAATTTAACAGCCTATCTACAGCTTTGACAGTGAAGAGCTTTATAGTTTGATGACATTTGATTCTTGGGCACAGGTTGAAGAGGGATTGAATCCAACCCTGAGATTTATATCCGATCATCGTGATCAGATATGTTATCCAGAATTGCTATGTAATGTATCTGAAATGACCTGCATATTTCAAAGGGAAAACAAGTGGCAGCTTTTCGTGGTCTTAGCTGGGAGCATTTTTAATTTATTTGTGGTGGGCTGAGTATTCTGCTAGTGTATTTGTACAGATATTTTTATGAGAATGTAAATCATGTTGTAAGGCCTTACAGAGCATAACATGGGTGATTAACATCTTTATAACACTAAATAAACATATCCTATTGTGGCACTTCATGTGTGCTGTACATAATAATTTACAATAACTGCTAGATGCCACGGAACATTTATCACAAGACATTTGCAACAAATCATTGAGTAAAACTTGAATTGTAGAAAAAAATGTAATTGGTTGCAGGAAAGATATCTATCTTGGATACTTGAGTAGCTGCCATTACTGCAGCACCTTCATGCCTCCCAAGCTTTAATGTATTTGTTTTGATAAGACTCCTAGAGAGACAGAGAGATTGAGAGGGAGAGAGAATGAGAGATGCTCTTACTCCATTTTAAAGATAGGGAACTGGGGCAGACAGCCATTCAGTGTATGTCAGCACTGCAGAATGCAGTTTAATGCAGTATGTCTGAGCGCGTTCTGTTATCAGAGCTGACCTGAACTTGGCTGCATGGAAATGCTTGTTGGGTAATTCTCCATTCTCTTTCTCAGGTGTAAATGTAACAACAGCAATCTCTGCAATCTGTAGTGTGCCATCAGCCTGAATTACTTCCAAAATTTAGGGAAAGATGACTTCAGCAGAACTTTCAGATTCAGTATTTATTAAACAAACTCAATTTACATCTATTACATATAGTGTTTGCCTTTAATTTAGACTGTGACAGAGGGATGGGTTTCAGCAATTTGGATGAAGGCTGTGGAACAAGAAATACCAAGCTGATGTTACTTTATTTTTTCTGCTTTTCTCTGTCTGTACTCTGTGAAGTCCTGATGTGCAATTTTTGTTTGGATAATTGCACACCAGTGTGGGAACATTTGGCCAGTGTATTTTCACCTAGAAGGTAAAAATGTAATCCAGACCCGGGTTGGGCAAGAATCCGTGTTTGCATAGCAGAAGAATACATTTCATAATCACAACTGCATTGTGTTTGGTGCCCAATTCAGTTTGTTATTGTTCAGTTACCCTTTCCAAATACTCGCAGTGGAATGGAATTGTTTGTTTCAACTTTCTGCAGCGCTGTGAATATTTTTGTCTCTGCAACTGATCAAAGTACTGAGGCTTAGCAAACTAGTGCTTACAGGGCAAGCTGCACAACTGAGCGTGTAGATACCCCCATTAGTTGTGAACAGAAATGTGTTGGACTTAGTCATTTCACTTAGTTCTGCAGAGGCAAGATCATGTTAATCATGAATCACAGCGTGCAGGTATGTGTGTAACTTGCTGATTGGTAATTAACTTGGTCTCTTATGATGAGGTGAATGTAACCTTATGTCGTGAAAAGAACAATAAGAGGAGGAAATATAAGTGAAGGAACATGTGCGACCTGTGCGACCTACTGTAGGGAACCTGCTTTGGGAGGGGGGTTGGACTCGATGATCTCTGGAGGTCCCTTCCAACCCCTACAATTCTGTGATTCTGTGATTCTGTGATGTGCTTTCACAAAGCATGTTTGCATTTGAAATAGTATTCCTCAAGTTAACTATAAAATGAAAATGAGAGTATGGGCAAGCATAGATGGATTAAACTGTGGACCAGATGTTGACTTAAAAAATGATAACAAAAAGCTAAGTACATATGTTTGCATGAAATGTGGAGAAATGTTTTTCCTTCAGGAAAGGCATCCATATAGATAAGGTTTCTCAAGTAATGTGGTGTGACAGTTGCTATGTCAACTAGTGTTCCCCTCCACACATTTAAATTATTGAATAGCACAGTAAATGCTCTATAAAAGTAGCTCCATAGGATGTGGTTATACATCTCCTTATTTTCATCAAAGCTTTTTCAAAGTTTTCTGGCCTTTACTACACGTGTTGGACATCTCTGGACTTTGTGCTGCTCCAATTAAAGTCAGCCTTTGACCCATTATGTTCCCTTTGTCTGACTGGTGTCATAGATGTTTAATGGAGCAGTGGCTGCTTGCATTTGAAAGCAGAGTGAAGGGACTGAAGGAACAGATTGAATCCATCACAGAAGAGGTGTGAAACTCCCATGCAAGTTAATGCATAATATTTAATGAATTGATCTGGTGCTGTAAGCAAGCATCTGCCCTTGCGTGCAATACTTTCTTCATTGTTAAGCCAGTATGCAAAGTGTAATGCTTTTTGGCACATGCTTTAATAATTTATTTAAAATATAAGTTAGCTCGGCAGAATCTCCAGCCTGAAAGCCAGTGTGAGCTGGTAAATTCTGAATCAAAAAGGGAAACCAACCTTTGCATCTCAGAGACATTTGTATTACCTGGGGCTAAAACAGGTGAATGATGAATCCTATTAAAGTCATTGCACTTCATTATGTGTAAATTTGTCTCTGGCTGGCAGATGGTTTTTAACTTTCTCATATTCAGCCTTATTTGGATAGCTTAGAGAGCCAGAGGAGAGTGCTCTCCCTTAGGACTGGAGGAGTATGAACTCCATGTATCTGTGCATTCTACTTGCTGCATTATATCATTTTGTATAAAGATTGTAGGGATATGTGCCACTCTGTTTAAAGACAATAAAAATATCAGGGTTCTTGAACACTCCTTAAATTGTGATTTAGGAGTGCATGTATTTGTCATCTCTGCATGCATCTGAACTTTTGTGAATATCTGTCCATGCAGACATTTAGGAGGCAACTCTGAAGGTACAGATACATTGAAATTGAGACACATAGGTAACTGAGAAGCTGTTTGATATGGTGGATATGAAAACTTTTGTGCTTTACTTGCAATGGCTGTCAATATTGGCATGCATGCATATGGACAGGGGACAGAGGCTGAAATAAAATTAAATAATGTAATCTTTAACCAGACAGCTGTCTTTGTCCCACACTTAATATGTTGCTGAACAGATACTGTGCAGGAAATGCTTTATTCATATGGCACACAGGTTGTCATACCAAAGTCACCTCAATTTCTGAGAAATATTATCTTCACTTGGTGTTTCTTGATGACTTTTTCATGTGCAGAACTGAAAATTGGATGCCAAGGGGTGTGGAGGTGAAATTGAAATACAGTAATTGTTCCACTGCGTCATAGCGGATCAAACTAGGGTCAGCTGGAGGGAGAACTGGATCTGGGACTGCTTGTGAAAAGGTTTATCAGACTAGTATGTTATTGCAGTTCACGTGTTTCTCTCTTTTCTTTTTGTAGTTTTGGCACTTTATATGAACCAGCGATGGTGGCCTGTTGAAGATGTTGTAAAAACTGCTGACCCTTCTAGAGATGGGTTGATTTCGGTGAGGATGCTTTTTAAGCATTTGGCTTTGCCCTGGACACTCCCAGTTGAAGCAATCGTAGCTAACTGTCTTTGCTTCCTACAGCTCATTCTCTATATAACCTGTGGGACCCGGGGGATATCTCCCACTGAAGAGAGGCATGCACATTAACCCTCTGTACACAATTTTCTGCATGCACTTTGTGACGCTGTGGGATTTATTCACACTTGGTTTTAGTTTGCCCTCAATGCCTGATAGAGGAATAATCAAATAAACAGACATTTCATGTTAGCAGTACTCTTGACATTAGTGTTTGTTGACTGACTGTGTGAAGGGAGCGTTACTGCTCTTTGGAACAAAGTCTTACATAATTATTTGTGAAATTGTTTTGCCTCTGATAATACTTGTATTGTGGTCATTTTATAAAGCAGATTTATTTAATAGATTTTATATATGCAATTCTTTTTCCAAACAGATGATCTTATTTATAATCTTAGAACTACATTTTCATAATTTAAGAGGTTTGTATAGCCTGTGATCTACTCTCTACTAAGAGTATGTGTTGTGTCGCCATGAGGCTATTAATTCAGTTCTATTTAATACCCGAACTTCTATGTCCAGATCTTGTCCTTTGTCATCTTTCCTTAATATCTACTATACATGGAGGTTAATTATTCACTAAATTAATTAATTTAGGTTTTTTTTTTTTTTTTTTTTTGAGTAACTGAACTGGAGGGATTTTGAGATACAAATCTTGGTAAGATAGAACTTGGGGCAGAATCATAACTGTTCAGGTTTTTGAGCTTCTGCTGTATTGACAGAGAATGAAAAAATGTCTGAAAACAAAAAGCTTGTCCCTTCTAGCTCATTACTGAGAGTTGAATTGTTATTATATATGGGAAGCACTTATTTTCAGTGTAAATGTTGGCACCACTTTTGCCTTGATGACCAATGTGCTGTTCTTTGCATTCTTCCATCTTCTTGTCTTGGTTATCCAGTAAGAAACATGTCATAAAAGCTGACTGCTTCTGTTGTTCAGTCTAGATTGTAAGCTGCTTGGGACAGGCTCTGTATTTATTCTCTTTTCTTGCTCAGTAAGGTCCTGGCCCACTGAAGTTCTTTGATGGCATGGCAAGACATGTAATAGGGAAGTGGTGATTGGAATAGCTCACTGAATCCTGACTTTATTTCTCTTTTGGGTAGGATTAGATTGCCTTGATCATGTTTCCATATCTGTGACTGGTTCTCTGTGACTCTGTGCGAGAGGCTTTTCCTGGCGCTTTGTAATTCTTCTCTGTGACTTCAGGAGATATTTCAAGCTTTATAACTTTTTTTCTAAATAATTTGGTGCCCTCTGGATGAAGGGTGGAACACTGGGAAGAATTGTTTTTATTGTTCTATCTGAACCAATTCATAAGGTATTTTCCCCAAATTAAGGGTACGTGTTTCCTGACCTCTTTCCTCGCAGCCTCTTTAATTTTGAAACTGTTCATGAAAGGCAAAATACAGTTTTCTGCTTCATTTTTCCTTGGTCTGTTTTTGTTTCTTCACTAAGGTCCAGACGTTTGGAGAAAGGATTGTCCTCTTTGTTCTAAACTGCATTATTTTTGGAATGCCGGAAGGGAATTCAGCTAATGATGCATTCTTTCTACCTCACTCTGCCACTGAGTGTGCCAAAATACTCTGGAGAAATGGTGAGGCTGTTGCCTTTTACTCAGTGAAGATGAAAGGTAAGGTCATGGTAGAGGCATGTTCCCATTAGCTTCTGACAGCTAGAAATGTAATACTTTTGTTTATCTTTCAGTATAAATAATCCTGGCTCCCATTTACATTTTTATATCGAATCTCTCTCAGAGTGAATTTGGGGAACGGGCCTTCCCAGAATTTGGAAGCCGTCCATATTACTTTCATTTTAACATGATGGTTCCAAACTCTATTCTCAGTTACAGTGAGTGATCTAAGGTACTGGTGTATTCAAATGAAATATGCTTTAATACAGACAACAGGAAGGTTGCATATGTACGAACAAAGAATGCAAGGCTTGCTCACAGAATGGAGAACTGCATCTCAGAAACTGCGATATCTGAAAGAAAGGAGTAGAGTTTGTTGTGGGAAGGCAGTGTACCAGGCAAGAAGTGGTCGCATCCCTGGATATGGAAGGAGCAGTGGCTAGGTTCTGTAGAGGAACATGTATACACCGGATCAGTCCTGGCATGGTTTATCCAGTTGTGGTGCTCCTGGTTTAAAGGATGATGATTAATGGATGTTGTCATTAATTGATTAACTTGCACAGAAAAACATGAGGTCATATTTGATTCTTTATGCATTCCTACACCACTATAAGTTTGAGGGAAGGGCTTTTATTAAAATGAGTGTATATTAATGCGGGTGTATTGCTATCTAGTGTGGAAAAGGCTTCATTACAGTAACTGCAGGTATGCAGCTGGGTAATATGTACCCTCCTTCAAAAGCTGATTACCTGTCTGTGTTTATCTTGTCCTCTTGACACTATCAGCTTAAATGTAGAGAAGTTGGTATCTATGGAGGTAGATGTGTTGTGGAAGTCAGCAATCAGTAGCTATCTATCAAAAAGGGGAGAATAAGAAACAGGTTGAGAGCTGTGCAGATGTCATCTGCTGTAGCCTCTGGAGGACAAGTCTGAAGGCACCTTCTCTGATAGACTCAAAAGGCAGCAGCAGTAAGTTCTGCTCTTCAGCTGCCTGGGATGTGTAAAATCCTTATTCATACAGAGATATAGCCTGCACATCAACCGTTATGATACACTGCTGCTGACTATCAATGAAAAACCATTTTGCACCCTGTGATTAAGGAATCTTGTGTACATATCTGTGAATATGCTGATGAGCTTCTTCATAACTGGCAAATGCTTCAATGACCACAGTGCATTTTCCTTTAAGCCCATATTTCTGAGCAAAGCCTTTGGAAGGAAACGCTTGTATGTTTCTTTTCTGTAATGATTAATGCATCAGTAAAATAAATTTGCACAGTAGTCTTTTATGAGTGAAGTATTAGCCAAGTTGAAAATGTTTCCAAGTAAATTAAGAGTTTTAAACCACGTCCACATAAAATACAAGCCCTTTGAGTCCAGCTTTGTCAGCGTCTGTCTTTTGTTGCCAGTGCTTTTTTTCTCTGGGCAGCTATGTTTGTAAGTTTTTGGCCTGTGTCACAAAATACTGCAGTGTTTTGCCAAAGCCTTTTTGGGAAGCTTGAAACTGATTGTTTTTGCTATTTTCTGTGCATATTTGGAGAATATTTCTGTTTTCTGAAGTTCTATGATTTCAATTTCACATCTGCCATGCTCTGGCTGATCCTATCCTTTCTGCTTTATGGAAGAGCCATGGATTTATTATTCTGGAAACAAGCTAAGTAAAGTGTCTTCTCTTAGAAATCATATATCACAATGTTGTTCTAGATTTTTTTTAGGAACTTTTTGTTTTGTTCTCCTCTTACTATTTTGCTTTGAACATTTAGCAGGAGCAGCTTTATGGACTAGACGTTACATTGCGCTGAACCTCCATTACAGCTTCTGGTCCTAGAAAGAAATGATCTTCTTCAGAATCACTAAATGATTCTGATTGCCTTTATTCCTGTGCTGTGCAGTTTCCTGGCCATTCTCCATGGTTTTATTTTCTCCAGTAGGTAATTGAGAGTCTGATGCTGATGTTGTGTTCGACTGTATTTTTCACCTGTGGATTTTCCAATATCCAAAGTATGACAAAAAACATGCTTCAGTGGAGACAAATAGCCAGAACAAATCTGTGGGGCACAGCTATCTCAACCATGGATTTTCTATGTGAATCATAGAAGTGGTGACCAAGGAGGAAAGAGTCTCTTCTATCTTTACTACAGATCTAGTGTGCCATTATGCAAGCTAAATTTTCAATGGACATCATTGATTCCGGTTAACCAGCTTGACAATATTGTACAAAGAGAACTTTGTGATTTCGGCTCTGTTCAATGTATCCATCCATCTTTTGAACATCCTTAACTGGATCTCTTTTGGTAGTGCAGCTAAAAATGGATGGATGGTTCTGAGCACTGACGTTGCTCAGAGACACAGTGACTTGAGACAGTTTGGCAACTGCTGACACTGGTTGTCCTGCACCTGTTGTGTAGATAAACAGAAGACTCATTCTTCAAGGCTATCAGTTTTCGTGAGCATTAGACACCTTTATTAAAACAAAATTTATTCATGACTACACAGATCATCACCCTAACCTCTCCGGTATGTGCCTATTCCTATCCAGTGACAGGCATGCAGCATTTACCACTGGGTGCACTAAAGATTGATGAGATGTACTAAGCCACTAATGAGGCTGATAAGACACTTTGTCACGTGCCAAGATAAATGTCTTCAATTTTATCTATGTCAGCGGCTTCCATATTAGACAGCTGATGAGTTAGACCTCACTGAATGTAGCTACTTAAAGGTACAACAGGAAATTAGTTTCCTGTCCTTGTACCTTACTTTGCAAATGGCAGCCTGCAACACTTGAAATATTTTGCAGAAAATTCTCGTATAGATACTTCAGTTTTTAGATTGTTTTGTATTTCTTTCAGGTGTTCCTTTCAGATTTTTTTCTTGGCATCCTCTAAATCTGTGTGAAAACCTCTAAAATAATGTGTTTTGGTTTTGTTTTTTTTTTTTTGTAGCGGTGTAGGATTAGTGAATGTGGTTATTGATACTACTTTTTGTGCAAAATGACTATGTAATTCCCTGAAAACCTGTTATTTTTCTGTACAGAAGGTTATTAATTACTGAAAATGGATTTTTACCACCTTCACATTAGTCTGCAACAGCCAGGAGAATGTAGAAAACAGTGCAAATCAATCAGTGAGGAAGTCTGAGGGTGCTCTGAGCCAGCCAGGAGTGTCTTAGTCCATTTAAGAATGGAGAGTAACAAAACCCTTTTTTGGTATCGAGGCAGCTGCATTGGAAAATGGCCGTGTGCGTGTAGGTGCTGCTTGGTGTGAGGTCATTCACTGCCCATTCCACTTCCCATCCCTCCATCCCCGTTCCATGGGAGCCTAAACTTTGCAGTGTCTTCGGTTTACTTGTAGTTTATAATTTTCTGTGGGCAAGAACACAAACACAGCCTTGTCCTCTGTGAGAAGCCTTGAGCCAGGTCTTACATTGGGATGAAGGGGCAGATTCTATTTTTGACTTATTTTTCAGCTAGCGAAGCACTGCCATGAAACCTGTGGGCTGTTTGTAGAAAAGCGGTATCAAACACTTCAACAGGGAACACCAGAATGCTTCAAAATGATGATAAATTCTCTAGCAGATTGTTTTTGAAATGGCTGCATGAGCTAAAATCTCAAAACTGGTTATCTCTAGAAATTAAAAAAAAATAATTTTTCACAAGTTGCACACATTTCTTGTAGAAAAAGAAGTTATCAGAATTGAAGCTAACCTGACAGACTGTTAGTTGGAATCTTGTTGGACAGTTGTTTTTCCTCTCCCTGTGTTTTCTAGCAATAATGTTTTTAATGTGCATTTTTGAAGTAGATTGAAGGTTCTGGCTGTAATAAAAATTGAATGACTGCATACCAGTCAAGACATGAACTCATTCAATTTTATTGGAGGCACATACAAATTCACACAACGGATTGACCCTTGGGTTCTGTTCAGCAGAAACCCTCCCCACCCTTTCTGTAGCCACTCAGGCTGCAGAGGGCCTGTCCAAACACGTGTGTGCCAAGTCGATTTATTCAGCAGGGAAACAGTCAGTATGCACAACGTTGGTGTTTTGTTTTGTTTTGTTTTCTGGTTTGTGGCTCTTTGGGAATGCTAATGGCTGTCTGCTTTCCTGCCCTTATAATATCTGTTTATGATCTTGCTGTCTCATAAGTTGGTCATTTGGCATTTGTGACCCAACCAGGCAGATCAAAGGTTTTCAAAGGGCAGACTGCATGAATGCTTTCATCCCCATTGCCAGTGCCCATATTTTCCCTGTCTCTTCCCTCACCTCAGGACTTAGTGTGTGTGTTTCAGCAATGAAACAAACCTTTAAACAAAATGCGTCAGACCCCAGTGATCTCTTTTGGGCCACCTTTAGCTTATGATAACCTCTTTGTTACTGGATTGGAACTAGAATTAATATGGCCTTCATTCCAAAGGTTTTTGTTTATTTTATTTCAAATGCCTGTAGGCTATAACTCTTCTGTTTTCCAGGGAGAAGGTGAAGAATGCTTTCGTGGTTTCTTTATTTACGGTGCCTTTAGACATTGCAAGTTTTTGTCGTCTTCTCAACAAAATTAGGAGCATAGCCATAAATCACTCAACCCTTGGATTTGCTACCACAGCAGTCTCATAAGGATTTATAGGAGACAGAATATAGGTGTTAATAATAAGCTTATAAAGTCACTTGCCACATGCAGGAATTCTTAAAGCTACTGACTTCATAAGAAGTTTGTCCTGTTTTTACACTGTATGATGCAATACTGCTGAAATACAACATCTCTGTTGGGCTCTCAGCTAACAACGGGACTGGGGATATACTCAATTTCTTGGCTTATGAAAAAAGAGCAACTACCCATCATGTGTTACAAATACTGAAAGGTTATAAACACCACCACAAACCAACAATGTGCTTGAACATGTGTTTGAAGTTAAGCATGCACTTTGATTAAGCAGGGGTGGACCAGCCCTGAATGTGAATGGATTGGTAATGTAGTTCTTGCTGTATGGCTGAGAATGTGTGTGACATGGGATATTGCTAAAGGGAAGAGCTACAACCTTGACAAATCAGAGTCTAGAATTAAATATATTCATGTGTGCTTTGCTGAATTAGTATCCTGGAAAAAGAGTAATCAAAGTAATGCTTCACAAATACCAGCAAAAGTTACTCAATGCGGCCCTAAGAAATGGAAGTAGACCTTAGTTTAATTTTGCTATGGGGTTGTGATAAAGAAAAAGTGGGTTGTATTAAAAGTCTTGTACTGGAACTTGGGAAAAGCCATTCTAATATTTCATCCTGTGCAATGGGTCTTAGTGAAGCGATGAAAGTTTCATGACTGGAAACACTTAAAATTTAGACTGGATGGTAGATTGGGAGGTGATAAGAAAGAAAACCAAGGAGGTCTTCATGCAATTTAGCAAAACAACCAGTCATATGTAATATTGAATGTCATATTATAAACATCATATGTTGGTATAAAGGTGTGGATATCCATTTTTATTTAAGTTATCACATATCCAGATAGAAGCGTAAGATAGAATCTTTGTAAATATTTTTTAAAAATGAAGATATATCAGTGTAATCTTTCAATGCTAACCTTATCTGAAATGTACATGGATGGTAAATTGGTACTAGTCAGTCATTTCAGGGCTGAGTCCTTGTGTTGTCAAATAGTTTTCTTGTCTTCATATATAGCTTGTATACATAGATGGTCTGATTATGAAGAGTCCAAGACTGGAAAACACTATGGTGACATGCACAGCAGGTACTCTCAGTTTAATGGCATGCATCTTCCTCTTGGAAGGCATTTTACTTGTATTACTACCATCTGTCCAAATGCAGTCTATCTGAGAGTAGCTTTGTAGCCTCGGTAGAGCTTTCAACGCAGTATTTGTGGTTAGAATCCCACTGCCGTTAGTTACTGCAGCAGTATCAATTTTGTTTTCAAATTAATATATCTGTCTTTTTACCATCTTCTTTCAGGGAGTCTATGTGATGGTACTACCAGTCAATGTTACTTGCTGCCAGTTTTGGATACTATATTTGTCCAGAGAAAGTACAGAAGAGGTGGCCTAGGGATGAAAATGCTGCGTGATTTCTGTCAGTCCTTCAAGACTGAGGATGCCTTGGGGATCAGCTGCCCTATTTCTGCTGCCATGTATCAAGGTAAATTGTTTGATGTGGAAGCATTAGGTAAGGGTGATGTATAATGTATAGATTTCAATATGGTCATGGTAGGATTTTCTTAGCTATGTAAGTGTTCAGTGCGCTTGTCTGAACTGAACTGTTTTTATCATGGTTAGTTTTCTTGAGCTCTCTGGAACTTCCAGAGAAAGGAAAGGTAGGCCAATATTTATGTAAAACAATTAGAATGTTTACTGCCTCTTTGACATTTTGCATTCTTATCTTGCTGTCTGTGAGAAACAGGACTATGTCAGTGCCCGGGACAGTGACTTATCAGCTCTGTTTACATGGCAGTGATGTTGTCAAGCCTACACTATGAATATAATGCTCTTGTAGATGCTGCATTTGTAAAAAAAAACAAACAAACAATTACATGCAACAAATTACACACCTGGGTTCTGCTCATGTATCCAGTCTTACTGGTACTTTTTTCATTATTGGTGATCTTGAAACATTTGTCACTTTTATAAGATTGATGAGTAGTTTTATTTCTTCTCCATGTTCAGGTTGGATTTCTGGTTTTACTAGTAAAATTTTCAGGAAATATCTCTGATAACATTATTGATAACACTTTCTTCTTTACAAGAGCATAAAGAGTCTATGTGGTGCAGAGTCTTTGCTGTCATTTTTAGGAGGGCTTTTCTATCGATTTATGACTTTGCATCCATTTCCTAATGTATGTCAATACAATTTTTACTGTGTCTATAGTCAGAATGTGTCCTCGAATGCATGGAAAACGTACACCAGGAGTTCCTAACGCACTGATATTTCTAAATCCAGCAAAGAACAATATTTACAACATTCTTTCCCTTTGCCCAGTAAAATCAATTTTTCCTATGGCAGGCATCAGTGGTTCTAGTTGTTTTTTTGGGGGGGAGGTCTTTGTAAAAATACTAGTAACGGAAGTTAAATGTTGCATATATATTACTTATATTGGAGTTGCCTTTTTTTTTTCTTTCACTGGCATCACAATCTCTTACTTGAACTAAAGATCACAACCTGTTACTCTAAAATGCTGTTCTGAATGTTCACAGTTTTCACCAGCATGCTTTATACAATTGTATAATAAGATAAAGTATAATAGAATAATATTTTTAAAAAATGCTCTAGAGGCCTGAAAGGAAGTAAAAAGCCTTTTAGCAAGCATCTCTATTTTGGCATATATATTACTTTCAGTAGCTTTTATTGATATGATTAATTTAGCTTGGATATCTTTGGATAAAATTAGTGACAGTGTTCTGTTCATTACTGTATAAAGAATGTGGATGTACTAGTTTGGGTTTTGACATCCCATTATTAAAGTCAACTGAATGTTGAAGGTAAAAGATCCATTTAAATTCATGCTGCAGTGTGATGGAGTACAGTGGTCAGAGGAGAGCACAAAAATCATATTCCTGTTTGCAGATTGCTGTCTTAGTACAGATGGTATAATTTGATAGAGCACTGGTTACAGAAAGTTTAAAAATACCTTTAAAGTTTGCTCAACTAATTCAACTGTTTTCTCAACTATGTACTGTAACATATTCTTCCTCTTAGATCTGCAGACTTGCAGACTTCTAAGGAAACTGCTATATAAGACTGATCTCAGTTTAGTAAGATAAGCATGGCTAAAACTGATTGTGTATCCAAATTACATTAATCTCTCAGTGTAGAGACAGTGGTAGGAATCCATGAAATACAGTTTCTAAAGACAGTCATACATCTGACACATGTAACTGCGTTATTCCTCTGTTAGTCTTCATATTTTCTGTTTTACCAGTCCAAAGAAATAAACCACAGCAGTGGAATGTTGTGGTAGAATGGAAGGTGGTATTGATGCAGAAACAAACTGATACAAAATTTTTGTCTATAAATAGAAAACAAAGGAGCATTCATATCTGTTAAAACTGGAAGATACTGAAGCACTTCTTCAGTGTACTGAGGGTAAAAAGACACTACTGTTAATTTAAAACCTGCTGTGTGTCTGGAGGTAGTTCTGTGATGCAGGTCCTGCAGGAGTCTTTGCAAAATTTCTGTGCTCATGAGGAAGTAATCTAAACTGAAGCAGATAGACAGAATTCAGCAGTTTTTGTCCGGGCTGTTCCACATTGCTTTTCTCTAAAAGCACCACCTGAAAGAAAAAGGAAGATGAGAAGAGAGAAGAAAAGGAACTAATGGAAGTAGGTCTCCGAGAATTTCCAGGATAGAATACACTCCCCCTTCCATTGTGCTTTTCATTCATTCATGCTTTTTTACCTTTTGATTTTTCCTTTCAGTTTGCCTGAAATACTTACAGACTTACCCTGAGGAACAGAAGCGACTCTGGGAGGTGGAAGCACCAGGAGATTGGAGCCAGCGAGTGAATATCTGGTTAAAAATTCAGATGGAGTCATCCCTTTCAGGAAGTGAGTTAAACAGTGTGAACATGGCCACATTAGCTGTATAAAGATATGAATTAAAATCAAAGGTTAGATAGTGATAAAAGGTATTGTCTGTGTAGTTTGCAATCAGAGAAACCACTGAGTATGCGTTCAGTTCACTGGTCTTATCCCAGTAAGCAGGACATTTCTTAGGAAGTGTGAGGTAATGAAGTTGAGCTACAGAAAATCTGAGAGGGATTGAACAAATCGGAGTCTTAGCATAAAATGTCTGTAACTCTCATTGCAGTGCATTTACAGCAGGTTAGAAGTTGGCCCAAAAAACTGTTGTTGCACAGCACAATGTCTGGGTTATAGAGAGGGGTTTGTATCTCTGAAATTATTACAGAGGATAAATTTATATGGCCAGTGGGCAGTGTTTAATTACCTTCAATTTGTTGCCAGTACCATTCTTGGATGGAAGCAAAAACATGTTCATTATGGCTTTTGGAAGATTGAAAGTTCTCTCCTACAGGCTAAATCCCTCTTGCTGGGAGCATTTTCTGCCTACTTCATAAAAGACAGCGAAAGAGTAGAAACCCTTTTGACAGTTCATAAGGGGATCTTGTTGATGCAATCTGTTCAACTGGCCTGGGGATCCAGACAGGCCCCTCTGCTGCCTGCACACAAGCTGTGATCAGCATTAGATTCCAAAAGAAGGGCACATATTGTCTTTTTCTGAAAGTGCAGAGCAAGGAGTGCTGCAGAGCAAATTGCTCCCACCCCTTCACACATCTGTCCTTCTTTGTCTGGCTTGGGGACCTTTAGCTAAAACATTGTGTTTCATCTTGCCTTCAGAACCCCACAGGAGAATCAAGCCAGAATTTTGCCCTAGGCTGAGTTTCTCTGAAGCCATTGTATTTATGTTCCTCATGCTTTAAAACAACAGATCTGGTGTTCCTTTTTCCTTTAATCCATCTTGCTCAGTTCAGTTTATTAATGGCAATTGAAGAGAACTGTGATCAGATCATCAAAAAGAAAGCAGATGCTAGAGGAGAGCGTAATTTCTTTTTTCATTTCTTCTTTTTGCCATCTTCAACAAAAATAAGAGAAACAACTTGAAACACAGGTAAATATAATTCCACCACAGTGGCTGTCATTTAGAAATACATGTGAGGCCTGGCATCTGCCTTGGGGATAGAAACTATGCTTTTTTGTCTATAAAAAGAAGGAAAAGGGAAACTATAAACCAGAAATGGCAGGATAGGGAGGTGGGGGCAGTAGGGAAGGGAGTGGGTCTATCTGACAAATAGATTGTGAACTGTGGTGTGTTGTTCATAGAGAAAGAGAGCAGAAGCCACTGAACTTAGTACTTAAATACATAATAAAAATCTGCTTTTTAAATTGTGTTCTCCATTCTGGTGCACAGCTCACCAGGCAGCACTTTTCTTTACACTGAATGTGCTGAACAGGCTTTACTTTATCAGTCTTCAGTGGAAAATCACCCCTCTATAAAAATAGTGTTTTAAAACAGTTTATAATAGAGGTATTATTTCTGTTTACCTAGAGAATCTATTTGTGTATTTGTAATGTGCAAGTTGCTCACCCACGAGATTACCAATTGAGAGCACAGAATAGATAATACCCAATAAAATTTGGGGAGGATGTGCCTGGTTGTGCTTTGTCCTACAGGCAGTGTGAGGCCTACGTAGCTCTGGAAATCATGAGAATTTTGCAGGGCTTCGTGCTGTTTGATAGCAGATAGCAGAAAAGCAGAAACATTCTCTGAGCGCAGGAAACGTGCTTTTTAGAAGGATCTGTCATGCTGCTTGCCAGAAATGCAAGGAGAAAGTTTTGTTTCTAGAGCTGTGGTATAGGGCCTAAAAAGAGAAGCGTGATGTAGCATAGTATGGAAACCGCTGGAGTTGTGCTCTTACCTGTTGTTGCACGTGGACACATTCAGTCGAATACATAATGACTTGGGAACATGGTGCTTCATTCCTATTTGTTCTGTTGTGTAGAAAGAAAAACACAATCTAAATCAACATTGTCAGCTCCAATCGGCATCTGTGGCAACAGTCACAAAAATAGATCCATTTTATTCTACTGTGATTTCTCAGATTCCTGTCAATGTTGGTGATGCTTTCTGATGTTTTGGAACAAGATTATGTAAAAAAAGGAAAAGAATCGTTTGCATTACGCTGTGTTTTCCAAGGCTTGGGAATGAACATTGTTAAAGCTGTTGTGAGAATTTTACAATTCTAGGTATTCCAAAAATGTTTCTGCAACCTTGAGGTTAGAGTTTTTAATTTTGCAAGGTTGTGTGGCTGCATCTAGTGGCAATACAGGTAAACTGCAGCACCATGATACTGTGCATAGATGCATAAAATATTGATGTGTACATATATCTATAAAAATCTATCTCCTTAGCATGTCATCACCCACAGCTGCAATCATTCATATTGAGTTAATTTTAATTGTTTGAAAAATGGAGAGATTTACTTACAAAGCAAATACCCCCAGTAATAGGAACATAGTGACATTTTTCTTCTGTGGCCGACTGGAGAAACAGAAATCATTTAACATGATTGTTTGAGTCCTAGTTGCAGAATCTGCAAGATAGAGACTTCAGCTGTTCTAAAATAGTTTATGAATACGCATAAAACTTGTAAGTGTGAAGCTAATGCCAAAAATGGACACTTGAAGCATTAATTTAACGTATTTCAGATGGTTGGTTATGATCTTTTCTCTGAGTTGTTCAGAGTACTTTCTGAAAAGGAAGAAGGTTATGGATTTTCTGGGCTTTAGAATGAATAGATTATTAATTCAGCAGAACTTTCAGGCTAAGAAAGACCCAGGGTCATTTGGTTTCTAGCACAGTTGTTCACCGTAAGGAGCTAAAAATAAGATTCTTAAGGTTTAAATGCTCCCTTCTAACAGAGCAGCTACATTCACCTGGTCTTGGTAGTAAACTTTCTACAGTTCAGTATTGTCTGGTCTTTCTCTTTTTCTCTTCAAGTAACAATCAAAATTAGATCTGCTTAGTGCCACTTGGCTGTTCTTTGCAAGTTTTGCCTCATCATTAATCACTAAGATTCTTCTGAAACATTGAAAAAATGGGCTTCCAGACTCCCTTCAAATAGTTCAATGTGATATTTTAATCTGTGAGGATGATAGAAGCTACCAAAAGACATATATAGACAAAAACATATTTTGAACAACTTACCGACCTTAATCAGATATAAATTCTTATGCAGAAACTGAAGAAGTATTCAGATAACATCTACAAAAGGTACCTCTGTGGTAGAGCTACATGATTGGCCTGGGAACTCTTTCAAGTGTGGAGCTTTAAATATTTAAGTGCTAGTCAGGAAGCTGTTAGAGAACAGATAGCTGTTTCTTGATCAAACGGATTAAACTGTCTTTTGAGGTACTGTCATCATCTGCCCTGGTTTGTTTAATTAACAAAAGCAAGGTAAGAGGGGTAGCATCCAAACAATTTTTTCTTATGCATTTTTGAAGTGAAAATTTGTGTGAACCTCTGCTGAGATTTTTTCGCTTATAACTGTTTCTGGGGCAGAATTATTCTCATTTCTCCAGAGGGTAAACAGATCTCTAGTGTGAAGAATGCTCACACTAATAAACCCAGACAATCAGATGCAAACCAGGTGAATAAAATGCAGTGATAAATTTGCCATTTTGAGTTGCTTTGTCATTGGTGGCCTTTTCCCTTTTTAGTGAATTAAGTATGAGAAATACCATCACTAATAGTAGTGGGTGTTTGTTTAACTTCTGGCCCATTGATTTATATAGCTAATCAGTGCAGTTTGTGATAATATAAATAATGACGGCTGTTTCTCATTACTGTTTTTGTTTTGATCCTTACTGAGGCAAACAAGCTGTAACCAAGCTGGTATACAGCACATTCTAAGGTTTGCACCTGCAATGGCTTTCCAAACTCAACTGGTGTGTTTTCTTGCACCTGTACAGTGGCTTGAGCATGACACCTTTAGAGAGAGGAGGCCAAGCTCCTTACACTGTGAGGTGCTTTATGCCACTGCTGAGCTGCAGAACTGAGTGTTCTTAGCTTTTTGCAGGATAAAAGCTCCAGACAGGCCAACAGGTTTCAGTGGAGGTTCAGCCTAGTTACAGGAATATATATCTGACACAAAAATCACAGTGAGGCTTTTTCACTTAATAAAGAAAAAGGATTGAGGAATTGGAAGCAAAACAAAGAGCTGTAGGGATTGTTTCCGCAACATGTTTTGATTGCTGCAGAAGGATTAAATCAGTTTGTTTTCTTCAGACATGAATCTCCTGGGGGAACCACAGCAGTGCTGACCCCTGTGGTGTACACTCTCACATTATGTGTTGTGGTCATGGCTCTAGAGCCCACCCAGTCAGATAAAGGCTTCATGAACTTCCAATTTTCTTAATGCTGACACTTCTGGAAATGTAGGCAGAGCAGCAGGAAAGGAGCTGTTCTTTGTAAACAATGCAGCAAAGTTTCTTGATGTTTATGGGGATCTTCAGCGACACAGGCAAGTCAATGCTTATGTTGTTTCTGTATAATCTGATGTTCTTGGTTCTGATTTCAGGGCATGGAATACATTCTTGATGTTGAGAAAGAAGCAGGAGGTGCCACAGGAAAATAAATAAATAAACAAAGAAGATGACAGCAAGCAGTAAGGACTCTGAACTCACAGTCCCGAGCGGCAGGACATAGAACAAAGTGGAGGCAATAATCACCAATGCAAAGGATCCAGAAGAGGAGCAGATCCTCGGGATGTTGTTGGAGACAAGGCCATCAAATGATTCAGGATTATACCATAACTGCACTCTAAAAATGCAGCAAAATCTCAGTCTAGCTTTAAAAAAAAAATGTAATCGAATGTGCATGATTTGTAACACCAGATAGATTTTTTTCAGGTAAGATGTAATTTTTTTTTGCAAGGGACATGTTCTCTGTCTTGTGTTTTGTTTTAATAAAGCTTTTCTTTAGTGATTGTCTTTTCGTTTTTTTTCTTACCAAGTGATTGAGCTCAGTTATTTCCCTGCTCAGGAAAGACTTTAATGGATTGAGATGACCAAAAGGGAATAATTGGAGGGCTCGCAGATACTGATGTAGGAAGATATTTCTATGGAAACCACATCCTGCATTATGGAAGAGAGATACCGCAACACACATTGGTATCAGGATGACAGCTGTAACCTTCCTATCAAAGTGAACAATGATGTTTCAATTGCTTTCATTTGAGCTTTTCCAGCAGAAAAATCTGCCTTAAACCCTGTGGTGGACAGGAGGTTATGCAAACTCCATTAATGCAGGAAAAGTTCAGTACACAGAAGAAGGTGAGCTATAGGCCTTAAGTTGCCTTTAAATTCAGACACTGTGATCATTCTGTGAGTGATTTTAGAGTATAGCACTTTGTGTAGATTATATACTGCATGTTTTATTTCAGGTAGGATCTTTTTTTTTTTTAATTTAATTAACATAGAAGTGTAACATATTTCACCAGATTACTTGGGTCGTGGCTCGATGAAGAAGTCTTGTTTGCTGAAAACTGATTCTGTATTAAATTCTTTTTAGTGAAAAATTTCTAATGCTTGAATATGGTATTAACAATTGAAAGTGAATTCTTAAGAATCAGGTCTTTAGTCTTGTGAGGAATTCTCTGCAAAGAGATGAGCCCAGTGGAGAGCAGCACTAGTGTCTTGAGGAACCTGAACAGATTTAGCAGCCTGAATTCTTAAATGGATGTCTTGGAAGAAGAAGAGGTAGCTATTTCTTTCCAGAAACAAATCCAGTATTGTCAGGGAGGCTCTTTTCCTATGGCTCTTCTGTCTCAAAGAGAATAAAAGAATACAGTTAGGACTAACTTCATCTTCAGATTGATGGTCTACAGGCTGGAGGAGAGTACAGTCTTGCTCTTCATGCTTTCAGAAATGTGAGCTTATGGAACAATTAGTCTGAATGTTTATTTGTTTATCAACTTTTGTTGATATTTGTGCTTTAATGTATCTGATTCATTTAGAAGCTTGAATCTTGACAGTCCGAAGACCTAAGAGGATCTGAAGCAAAAACAGATGTAATATCTTCACTATCTTAAGAGAACGTAATACAGAAAGCACAAATATCTTTTTCTCCCAGTGAAAATTCTTTTATCGAAAATAAATCTGTTTATTCAAGGGTAGAATGATTTCAAAGTACTGTGAAAGTTGGCAGAGTTTTGAATGAGTATTTCAATTATTACACTTAGATTTTCAAAATATTATATTTCAATTATTATTTTATTATACTATTTAATTTTTTCTGAGTGTACACTCTCATAATTGTGTCTGGACATGATGGCATTTTTGCTTAGGAGACAAGAAGGTAAATGTGTGTGTATGAGAGGGATGGCAGCACCTGTTGTTCTTATGGACATAAATGTGTCTGGCCTAAAAGTGAGATGTTAAACATGAGTATTAGTGTTAGCAGTGATCTGAGTGAGTAAGTGCCAAGTAAATCAAGATATGAATATCTCTCAAAAAAACAAAAACAAAAACAAAAATCAACCAACCAAATTAAAAAAACCAAAACAACCCCAAATCCAAAGGCTGCATGGATTTTAAGGCTAGAAATTTCATTATGTTCATCAATCTTGATGTTTTACATATTGTAAGCCAGACAGTTTCATGCATGGTTGCTGTACCAAAAATGATTGTTTTGGTTGAAACATAGCCCATTTTATAGAAAGATGATTTTGATTTGACTGTTTTGTTTCTCAGCTGTTGGGAAATAGGAAATCTGTCATGTTCCTCATTGAGTTTTTCTCAAGTTTGATTTTGTTTACATGTGCACTTGATGGTCCAGTCTGAATTCATTTGGTTTAGGTCACCCATGGTGGATTTTTCTCTTCTGTTTAATGCTGAGCTATGGCTCTGTTACTATCAGGACTCCTTCCATGAGGGGATGATAGATTCTTTATGATCTAGACATGACATCAGCAATCAGCCCTGAGATGTTTGAATCTGTTTCTGTGAGGCAGATTTTCCAGACCTTGAATCATTCTTATCCTTTCAGAGAGATTTTTTTTTTTTTTTTAAATTCCTTTTAGAAGCTTTAACATCATCAGAGACCCATTTCCAGTTACACTCACTCTGACTGTTACAGGCTAGCATTTCCTGACTGCTGAGACGTGGCTGTAGGTCGTTATGGCATTCCGGATGGTGAACACTGTAAAACTTACATGATGCAGTGAAATGAAGAGCTATTTGTTTCAGTTTTTTGTCTTTAATGGGCACAATGGCTGCGCCTAGTACTGGAATGAGTTGATCTAGCATCATCTTAATGTTGCCACGAGATGGCACTGTTAGATAGCTTAACATTGTTGTGCCTTAGGTGTTTGAGACAGTGCCCAAGATTTGAACACATCGCTGGTTGGCTGGGCTTCTCCAGAGAAAGATTACTTGCTAAGAGAAAGGAAGATTACAATGCAGTAAAGCTCGTTTTGTGTTTGCCACTCAATCTCATTGTATCAATGGAGATTATCCAGAATAGGCCCAGAGGTAATGATTTTCAAATAGCTGTGATGCCAAAATGAAGTCACAGAGAAGCAACAAATGCAAGTTGCACCCAGCTTGTGTCCATTCATGCTCATGTCTCATCAGGAAGCTTGGATAGGACTGTGCCATGTTATTGATCCAGTGATCAGCACTGGGTAATTCTGTTTCTGTTGTTTCATAGATAATTTAGGCATCCCATTTTCTGTTTTTGACCCTTCTATTTCTAATATACACGTTCCTTCAGAGTACTACTAAGTACTTTCTTTGCTATTTTTCTTTTTCCATGCAAGAACACCTGCCACGTGATATGCTGAGAATGTTCTCAGCGTTAGAAAAGTAAAGATGTTCTCTTCTTGCCCTAAAGGCTAAGTTTCTTCCTTTCCTACTGTTTTCTGTGACACTTCCAAAGGAGAGAAGAGCATATTAAGAAAGAAGAAGATGTTTAATTTTATTTCTTCTTTGTTAATTTTTGAATTGCAATCATTTTGGTTTGTTCAAATCACATTTTTGTGTCCCATAGATGAAGAAGGAGTGAGTGAGCAGAACAATCTAAACTTCATTAACTCTATTCATTAACACTAACTCTGTCCTTTTTACCATTAGCATATCAAGGCTGTTGCAGAAAAAGATGGAATTAACATGTCCAAACAGAATTTCTGTTTTGTCAAACTTGTCAGTCAACTGCATAAACAAAGAATATATAGAGATGTATAGATATATACCCAGATATAGCTATTTGTTTAGCACTAACTTAGGCCTTTCTTTATGTATTCTTGCCATAGATAAGTATGCAATAAAATTTTAGGTACACAGAAGACAAAATTAGAAGTTTGTAATTAGCCTGCTTTTCAATTTGTTTCTTCTTGCTATTTTTTTTTGATGGTAAAGTCTCTGTTTAATCTTCTCTATTTGCCTTGAATTTTTGTGCCTTGAAGGATTTTACTTATTTATTTGTTTATTTACTTTGGTCGTGGTGGTGGTTTTATGAAGCAGTCTTTTTGGTTTTAATTTAAAATGGAGACTTCATTTTTGGAAGATCAATAACCCCCATCTGATGAGATTCTTTTCTCCCAGCCACTTGACACTTAGATGAAGTTGAACTTCTTTTTTTAATTCTCATGGAGGAGATCAGAGGTTGCATTCACCGTCATGAGTACATTTGGGGATGTTGGTATTCATTCAACAGTATTTGATTGGTAATTAATAGCTCAGCCTTTCTGCACTGTGGAATGTTAAAGGTCAGTGACCGTGAGTGGAGAAACACTTTGGGAGCTATTTGTGCTCTCTGGTAAACAGTGAACCTGGCTTAATGGCCTTAGTTCCATGCTGGTTTTAGGAGATACAGATGTGCAACATACCTTTTGTCTTCCTACCTAGAACCGGTAAACCTGTCCTAGATTTGTGCAAGGAGGAGAGAAAAACAACTCCTAAAAGGATTACTTCAACTGACTAATTTTTAAGTTGCTTGCTGCTTGGCATATCCCTTTTTGATAACTATCTTAACGAAGATACGTTTTAGGTAAATGACATCTTCAAGCTGCACAATATAAAAACACCTTCTGATTCTCCCACCCTCTCCAGATCTTGGGGCTGGCTCAGTATTTTTTTTAAAGCTATTTCTCTCGTGCTGCATGCAGAACCCATCTGCTGTAATGCGGTCTGAAATGCTGCTTTTATCCTTGTTTGCGTAGAAGGTTGGTGGGTAAATCAATTGCAGTAAAAGACATATTGTCCCTCTTTGCTCTATGTCACTAGCACAAATTTCTTTCTTTTCAAGTGTCTCTTGGCAGAAGCCAAAGCCTTTGGCACAAGCCACCTCTGCTAGTTTGACCTCTTTTGTACATCTGGAGTGGAACACCTCTGAGAAGCACAGAACAAAACCAGCAAAATAGCAAGAGAGAAGGTCAAGAAGGGGTCTTGCTCCCTGTAGACATCAGAAGTTTCTGTGAGATGATATTTAGCATGTCCTGCCTGAACAGTTAAGGCATCAAAGACATTAGAACTTCGATAGGTAGTATCCTTGTGAGTTGTGAAATAGATTGCAAAGCATGTTTCTCTGCCATGCTGGGGGTGGAGAAAGGAACCTTGTGTCTTTCTAGTCACTGAGGTATCTGAGGCTGAGAGCTTCAGAGAGCCTTTGGCTTCCAACGGATGGTTGTACCATGCTGTGCTCTGTCCTTGCCTAGCTTCTCACTTACAGGCCTTAGCTTAGAGTGAAGTCAGAAGAGGAACGGGAAGGCTAGTTTCTACCAAAGACTGAGCTGACATCAGTTACAAGCAGTAAGAAGTGCCTGATTTTTGCTTCTGTGTTTTTATTTTTTCCTGGTCACAGCCTTGCAGTGACATTCTCTCAGATCAACCAGTCTCTTTGATGCAGCATAATTACAAGGACAGAGGTGATTCCCTGTCCCCTGCCATT